GGCAGACAGAGGGAGAGGGAGAAGCAGGCTCTCTGCCGAGCAGGGAGCCTGACGCGGGGCTCGATCCCCAGGACCCTGGGATCGTGACCTGAGCTGAAGGCAGACGCTTAACCGACTGAGCCACCCAGGTGCCCCTAAGTACTTTTTTTAAAAAAAGATTTTATTTATTTATTTTAGAGAGCAGGGGGGAGGAGCAGAGGGAGAGGGAGAAAGAGTCTCAAGAAGACTCCCTCCTGAGTGCAGAGACTGGCCTGGGGGCTGATCCCAGGACCCTGAGATCACCCACCAAGCCTAAAACGAAGAGTTGGCGGCTGAACCGACTGGGCCACCCAGGCACCCCTGAATTAAGTACTCTTTACTTGGTATTCCCTCTTCTCCCCCTGGCGCCTGGGGGTGCAACAGAGCCTTCCATACCTAGTGGCTGCTGTGGGTGGAGCTGAGGAATCAGCTTCTGTTCTAAGACATAAGGTCCTCCGTGTGTCCACAAACGTGGTCGCCCCTATAGCCTCTCCCAGCAGCCTTAAATTCTTCCTGTGCAGGTCCACCCTGCTTGGAATTACCTGCCTCATCCTGAGAAGGCCCTTCCTTCCCAGCCCTCCTGTCACTGTGCATCCATTCAACAGACACATAATGAGTATCTGTCAGGTGCCAGGAATTCACAGATATATCAGGGCCTTTCTCTGTTCTCTCCCCTCCCCAAGCCCTTCCTCCTCCATTCCCATTTGTTCCTCGCGGCCCAGCCTAGAAGCCACCTCCTTCTTGAAGCCCTTCTAGATTTCTCTGGTCCTTTTGGTCTCTACCCCTCCTGTCCTCTCACAGCACTTCCTTTGCTCCTTTAATGTTGGAATGTTAGATCCTCTCTTCGTAAAACGTGGGTGCTAACTCCTCCAAACAGGGTAAGCGTGCAGCTCCAACAATTAAGCAAGCCCCGGTCCCTGCCCCCTGGTACCGAGCACGCCCGCACATCCGTCCCAGAGTGTAATCGCTGAAAGTGAACCCTTCAAACCCTCTCTCCTACGAAAGGCGCCGCACTGCCCTTTCTCTCCTGACCGCCACGACCTTGTCCTCCAGCCCCTGCAAAGCGAGGTTCAAGAGACCAGATCCGCGGGAAAACCAGCCTGAAGCTCGGGACAGGTGCCGAACACCTTAGCCCGGCAGGCTCCGCCCACAGCCCCGCCCCGGCTCAGTCCCCGCCCCCGGAAGCCCGCACCCGTTTCCCATTGGTTTGCGATCCGCCGAGGCCCGCCCCGCCGGGCCACGCCGCATCCTTCCCCTAGCCAGCCCCGCACCACCCCCGCCTGCCCTTCCAGGCCCGCCTCTCATTGGTGCGCGCCCGAGGAGCCCCGCCCCCATGCCGTCACTTCCGGGCAGAGAAGCCCGCGGAAGGCGGAAGTGTGCGCTCAGAAGCGGTCGTGAGGATCCGCGGAGGTGTCCCCGGCTGGTACCCGGCTGCTTTTCCGCCTCTGGGCGCGGGGACACGGAGGCGGCCAGGGACAGCGAGTGGGGGACGATGTCATGAGGCAGCCGCAGGGCCTGGCGGGGTCTGGAGGTTGACCGTCCCTGCCGCCTTCCCGCGAGGCCGCCTCCTCCAGGCAGTCGCCCGTCCCTCTCAGGGTCTCGCATCCTCCGTGGTCCCAGAGCCTCGGACCGGGGCTCCCGGCCCCTAGACCCCGCGCTATGACCGCGGCCGCCGCCTCCAACTGGGGGCTGATCACGAACATAGTGAACAGCATAGTAGGGGTCAGTGTGCTCACCATGCCCTTCTGCTTCAAACAGGTGAGTCCAGCGGCACAGGGGTCGCTCCTGGCCGGCCCGGGCGCTCACCGGGCCGGGAGGCACCAGGGCTGGGGGAGGCGGCTGGGCGGGGTGTGCGGCCGCAATCAGACAGGATTCTGCCCGTGAGAAGCCCGCGGTGTGGGAGCCGGCGGCACCTGTCGGCCTTGGCCTGAGGGTTCGCACAGTTAGTGATTCCAGATCGAGGTTCGGAAGTGGAAAGTGACCGCAGGGTTCCGTGTTCTTTCTCCTTATCATTGTTTTTTTTTTGTTTTTTAATTTTAAGTAATCTTTAGGCCCAACATGGGGCTCGACCTCACGACCCTGACATCTGGGGTCGACTTCACCGGACTGAGCCGGCCAGGCGCCCCCTCTTTGCTACTATTTTTAAAAACTCTGACCCGACTGTACTTGCTTTCCGAGTACACGGGTCCAGCCCTGAGGGCCTTGGGACTAGGTTGGGGTGTTGGTTCCAAGGTGATCCCGCAATTTGCCAGATTGTGGGTTTCAACATATGTAAATGTTACCTCGGCTGAAAAAAATCTAAAATGTATTTAAAAAATGGGTGTCATGCCAACATTAAAGGCCATATGGAAAAAAGCCATCCTTTGTGCAGTGTGGACCCATTTGGCTTCTGTTTAATCTGCAAATAAATGGGTATTTGGTGATTTACAAAAGGGAGGTTGGTGAGATTATCAAATTGGGCAGCTTCTTTCCTAAAAATGAACTCCTGGGCCTCACGTGTGCCAGGGCTGGAGTTGCTGCTCCCCCTTCGCACTGGAGAGGGCTGCTTGTGGGGGAGGAGGGGTGCCAGCCAAGGGAGGAGCAGGTGGGGCTGGGCAGGTGGCTGCAGGGCACAAGGACCAGTCTTAGGGGATGAAACCAAATAGGGAGAAATATGGAAATAAAATGAGCATTTTGAAACTGAAAGTGGGCACCCGTAGTTTAATTTTAGATTAACAAACACTTTGCCTTTTCATACTTAGCATCTTTGGGATAAAAATAGCACAAAAAAGTTTTTTTTTAAATCTGGAGTTTATTAATCCTCCACCTTGAGCCTACCAGCCTGAATTGCTTCCAGCTTCCCATATGGGTTATTGATAGCTGTTCTGGCAAACGTGTGGGCAGGAGGACAGGGACTCTGGCTGCTCTAGAGCCCCGGAGGCAGCATCTGTGACTTAGCTCTGTGAATCCCAGCGTGCACGGCCACTCGCAGGCATTTCTGGAAGGACTACGTGTCCCAGGGTGCACTGCGACTTGCCTGGCCCGGAACTGCCTCCTGGGGCATGTGTGTGGTTGGGCCTCTGTAGGTCCAAGGCTGCCACCCTCCACTTGGGTCTGTAAAGTGCCACGCAGCAGGGTTCTGGTGGGACTCCTGGGAAGTACGATTTTGGACCCAGGTGATTCAGCTGTGCACAGATTTGTGTCTGCCGAGTGGTGGGCAAAAGGCACCTGCCAGACTAACACGCCCAGGAAGAGCTCACACTTAGTGGTGGAGGCCCGCGTGCAAGCACAGGACCGCAAGGGGTCCCCCCTGTCCTGAGGGCCTAGCAGAGCGGGGGCAGCCTCTCATCTGGACGCAGCATCTTCTCCCTAGGAAGCCCTTGGCTGGAGCACTGAGGGAGGCCAGGGGGCAATTTGAGGATGTGTGTTGTTAGTGTTGGACAGCCACGTCATTTAAAAAAAATTTTGATTTTGCGTTTTTTTGTGCTTGTTTGATTTTAGTAACTTGGGTACTTTTCAAAAAATTAACATTTCACTGAAGTATAACATGCATACAGAGAAGTGTCCTTTTGGGTGTATTCACGGCGAATTTTCAAAAAGTGAACAAACACATGGAACTAGCTCCCAAATTAAGGAATAGAGCGCAGCCAGCACCCCCTCGTCCCTGCTGCCGGGCCCACCGTCCCACCTCTAGCACCATAGATCAGTGGTACCTGGGTTGTCACTTTGCATAAGTAGAAGCCTACTCTTAGGTGCCTTCTCCTGGCTACCTAGTGTTCCCGTCTGTGGCTGTCCTGCGGTTTATTGCTCTGCCTTTGCTAGGCATTCACGGCGTTTCCTCCCTGAGCTCTGCGAACACCTGCGCACAGGCTCTGACGCTGAGTGTGGCTTTCTCTGGGGTGTTTCTTGGAGCAGAGCAGCTGGATTGCACACACCTCCAGTAGAGGACACTTGTTTCTTCGGCTTTTATTTTTTTTGCCTGCAAATATGTTTAATACACTTAGATTACACAGAGGTAGAGGGAGCAAGAAGGAAACGACATCTAAGTGACTCCTCCAAGAATTCTTACAAAAGTCCCAGGCTGGCGGCAGCCTCTAGGAACCGAGGCACCATTGACGTTAGAAATGAACGTAAAATTTTATAGAAGTCTGCTGATTGCAGCATTCAGGTACTTGTACAAAAGGAGGGCTCTCTCTGCAGGCTCCTGATTTGTGACAGGGACCCAGGTACCTTACCTGGCACGGGTTACCTGGAAGCCAGAGAAGAAAGACAGCTGGATTAAAAACACACAGTCAAGGGAGTTCTGTATTGGTCTTGCCCCATGGGGGCACCAACGTTTGGTTTTTTTCGCTGCTCTCACCGCAATCTCAAAACCCAGTCCCAAGACCCTGTACTTATTTTTAAAAATGCTCTAGCCCTTTAGACTCTCCCCGAGACTTCCTAGTCCCTGCTGTGAAACTGTGTTTCTTCAGCTTTTAGATCACAGATAAACTTGCTATAAACACCGGCAGACAAGTGTCTGCGTGAACACGTGTCTGTTTCTTCCAGGTGAATAGCGAGGAGTGCAATTGCTGGGTCAGATAGTGTCTATTTAACTCATAAGAAAGGTGTAAATGTCTTTTTTTTTTTTTAAAGATTTTATTTATTTATTTGACAGAGATACAGCGAGAGAGGCAACACAAGCAGGGGGAGTGGGAGAGGGGGAAGCAGGCTTCCTTCTGAGCAGGGAGCCTGATGCGGGGCTCGATCCCAGGACACTGGGATCATGACCTGAGCCGAAGGCAGATGCTTAATGACTGAGCCACCCAGGCGCCCCTGTAAATGTCATTTTTAATCTCTTCCCGCCAGAATGTGTTCACCACTCATAGCTGTTGATCCCAGTGGCTAAAAGGGGATATATTGGGGGGTGCACACAGAGAGCTGGGGAGGCCAGTTGTTGGCAGTGCCCAGCTGTTCGTTAAGACTTGGAGGGGCCACAAAGGAAGCAGCGTCCCTGGCACTCTTTCAGGGTCACAAAGCATGTGGCTACCACATGCCGGGAATTGGTCCCTTTCAGTGCTGGGAGTTGTCACCCGTAGGCAGGGAAGTGAGGCAGAGCCGGGACCTGGCACCCGCAAGAGTCAGAGGAGGTGGAGAGGGTGCTCAGGAGCCGTGCGTGTGAGGCAACAATACCGGCTCATTTTATTTTGTCTCTTTTTCTTCCACCCCTCCAGTGTGGCATTGCCCTGGGGGCTCTGCTGTTGGTTTTCTGCTCTTGGATGACGCACCAGTCGTGCATGTTCCTGGTGAAATCGGCCAGCCTGAGCAAACGGAGAACCTACGCAGGCCTGGGTGAGGACGTCGGCGCTCGGCATGGTGGCTGGGCATCCCCAAGCCCTTTCTTGGGAAGTGCAGCGTTCGAGATCTGGGCGCTGGGGCCTTGCTCCTGTATTTATTTACTTTCCTTCCACTTTATGCTTAAAGAGTTCCTTGAACAGCAGGTTTTCTTCCTTATTTTAAAATTTAATGCCGTTTTTAAAAACTCTTCCTGGAGACCCATGCTTCACTGAGGAGGTGACACTTATTCTCCTGTTTCCCGTTTATGCAAATACCAGATTCTCCTGTTTCCCGTTTATGCAAATACCAGTGGAGAGCCTCCCCTTCCAAATTCAGGCGGGACCAGTGGCCCTCAGACCCCTGTGCACTTGCTCCTGAGCCCCCGGAGCCTTCCTTCGGAGCTGCTTGCCGGGGGGCTGCGGCGCTTCCCCACTTTGAATGCTGTGGAGGGGAGACGGCCGTCGGGCCCAGGCCGGTGGCCGGGATCCAGTCCCCTGTCTCTAGCGCTGCTGTTTCCTGATGCTCTGGGTTGTAATTTCATTTCCTTTAGGTCTTTCTTCCTTTGATTTGGGCCAAGGGCGAGGAGGCTGTGCTTTCTGCTTCCTTTTGGTTTGGACTGGTCCCTGGGGCACTTGGCTCTGAGGGCAGGGCCCTGACTTCCCACACCCTCAGGCTGCTGTGCTCTGCATTCTGTGCTGGTGAGATTTGGCCTGGGGGCTCTCAGGAGCTGGGGAGAATCCCTGGGCTACTGATGAAAGCCACCCCCCCACCCCCACCTCCGGCCAGTGCGTGGCCGGGGTGCCGGGTCTGCTCTCCCTCTCACGGAGGAGAGGAAGTTGTGTGCAGATTCCAAGGGGCCAAACAAAATAAAAACATCTGCAAGGTCCACGCGTGGGCTTTTGGCAGCGCCACCTCTGGTTCCCTTCCAGTTTGTCTGCTTTGCATTGGCACCGAGATCCTAGCATCTGTTCTGACCTCAGAGCTGAAGGAGTGCCTCCTTCTCTCCTTCCTGATGAGAATGGTGCTGTCAGGCTCTCGCTGTTGCTGGAGTCACTTGAGGCAGTGACAGTTACAGGTAAACGGGCCATGCCGAGATGACCTCATGCAGCTCAGGATGAAATGTGCTCCACGGCGCCCCTTCCTCCGGCTGCAGGGCTGTGGCCTTCGGGGTGATCTTTTCCTCCCCCGCCGAGGGTCAACATACGGCGGTGTTCCCGTAGCAGACATCCCACAAAGTGCTTGGCTGTGCTCTGACAGAGGACAGGTGACCCTAGACCACAGAGGCTGGTGGCTTTTGACAGCGGTCTGTCTGAGGATTCTTAGAAAGTCCCTGAGAAGGCAAACTGGTTTGGCTGGATGTGAGAGACTGCAAGGAAGGCAGATGGTGGACACCCTTGTACGGGGCTGCCTGGGGCTCCTGCCTTTAGCTGCTTGCGGTGACTGTAGCCCAGCTGCTAGAGGCAAAAAAGATCCCAAACCACCAGTGGTCTTCAGTTGTGCTTTTGGTCCCAAACGAGATGGCTCAGTTGTGTGAGCTCCCACAGACCCTGTGGCCCTGTCTGCAGCATCAGCTGCCCTGGGTCCAGCCTCAGAAACAGAGAGAACCCACCGCTTCGAAAGGAGTCCTAGACAGGAAGAGAGGAGATTTCCCTTGGACCCTGTGGGTCAGCGGCCCTCCTGCTCCTGGGCAGACTTACTGAAGGGGTCTTTCTCCTCATCCTCTGCCTTCTCCTGGGCGAGAAACCCCATGAGAGCTTGCACCACAGCTGGAGAGGGTGGCCTGAGAGGAGGCCCCGCCGCCTCCCGGTGCCCTGGGGTCCGGGACAGACAGCCTTCGTTGGCAGAGCCCCGGGCCCCAACATGCATTGTCTGCGGGATCCGTGGCCATCGGGCAGTGTTGGGGGCAGGGACGTGGCCAGATGGCCTTCGGGCAGACCTGGTGATGGAGCAGGGGCTGGAGCAGCAGACGCAGCTCACCCAAGCGGGCTCCACGACAGGGGTGGGGTGTGGGGGGTGGGTTCGCAGAGGGGGTCTGCCACGCCCAGACGTGAGTGAGACTTCGCGGCGGTTTCTGAGTTTGGAGAGCCCCTGGCAGCCCTCCCCGTGCCGCCCCCTCCGTTGAGAGTGGCGCGCGGGCGTCTGCTGCAGGGTGAGCTCTGCGAGGCCCGAATCACAGTGCCAGTGCCGTGTCTGTGGACGGAGCTTCTGTGTTTTTGTGGTGTTCTGGTGGCTGCTCCTGGGCCACACTGGTGAATTTCATCCACTTCTTACCTGCCACTCCCTCGCCCTGTGTATCCTGCTTTGTGTAGACTTTTTTTTTTTTTAAGATTTTATTTATTTATTTGAGAAAGAGAGTGAGAGAGGTCACTAGCAGGGGGAGCGGCAGAGGGAGAGGCAGACTCCACGCCGAGCAGGGAGCCCGATGCGGGGCTCCATCCCAGGACCCTGAGATTATGACCTGAGCCAAAGGCAGACGCTTCACCGACGGAGCCACCCAGGCGCCCTCGTGTAGACTTTCGTAACCTTATTTTCAGAAGATAGGCATGCCAGCCAGGCAGCCTCCCCCAGTGGTCTCAGTCCCCCGGGGCCGTCCCGAGGCCCGGACCCCACCATGCTGAGTGTGGCCTCTGAGCTCTCAGTTGTGAGGACTAGATGCTTCTGGCACTGTATCTGTGGTCCTGGGGTCCTGGTCAGCCTGCTGCCCACTCCTGGGCCTGGGGTGGGGCCTGTCCCGCCAGTTTACTCCCTGCTTGTCTTCGGATGTGTGACCCACATGCGTGGATATGTGGCTTGGGCGTGAGGGCTGTAAAGCCAACCTTTCTGATGCCTGGGGGTCTCTACACCCTCATTTATCCAACAAATGTTTTATTGTCCTCTGTGCACGTGGCACTGGGGAATCAAATGCAGTCCAAGGCCTGGCTCTGGGGACGGCTGAGTTGAGGTCACCCTCCTATCTTGAACAGCACGGTTTGGTGTGCGTACCACCTTCTCTGCCCTGCTGATGCTGGGCGTCGGTCAGGAGGAGGCTTTGGATAGCTGGTGGAGGGAGCGGGAGTGGGGCCGGGGTCCCGCACTGAACCAGGTGGTCTAAGAGTCAGCCCTGTGTCCACAGCAGCCTTGGAGCCACAAGCTAGGCAGTGACCTCCAGGAGGAGAAGCTGCTGCCTGGCCTCCCAGGGAGGGACAGGGAGAGCCTCCCTCATGCCTGTCCTCGCTCTGCACAAGAGCACCAGTCAGACTGGTATGAGGCCACGCCTACCCCTTGTCCCCATGCGGCCCAGCCTGTTGGCCGCAGAGTGCCTGTCCCAGAGAGCGGCATGCTTGCTCAGAACCCCTTGAAGCCCTTTTGCAGACACCTGCCGGCCTGTTGGGGCTGGTCTGTCGCTGTGGTTCCTCCCCCTGAGGGACAGTCCCGGGCGCCCTCCGCCCTTCCAGTGCCGTGCCAGGTGGGAGGCTAAGGGCAGGGTGCTGCTGGGCATTTCTGTTTGAGACTGCTGAGGGATTTGCACTTGAAGTGGGGGGTGGGGGAGCCCAGGTAAAGAAAGGGGTGAGTGGGGAGGCCAGAAACCGGGACAGCCCCGTTGGGATGTCGTTCTGGGTGTCTGGGTGAAGAGTGCCCCCTCCCACCTTGGTCCCCTGACTAGCTGGAGTACCGTCCATTGCCTCGCTGTCCGGGATGCAGGTGTGTTCTGGAATTTTTGCTGGCAGTTGCTCCGAGCATTTGGGATACGCCGTAGCTATTCAGCTTCCTCACAGAAGGGACAGCGAGGAGTGGGGCCACCTCTGTGGGGCACTGAGTTATGTGTCCTGTCTAGAGGTGTGCTGCCCAGCGGCTGTCCTTGGGAACCTCAGAGCGCCTCCCTTGGGTGACAGCAGGCCTTGGGCTGCTGCCTGCTGACTGGAGTCCTTAGTTTGTGAAGGTCTCAGCTTGGCCTTGAGTCTGTGGCAAGGAGTCAGAAAGGCAGGGAGGCCGGCGTGACCCTCAAGGCAGGGGCCTGTGCTGGTCACCCGCCTTCTGCCCGTTCATGGCCTCTGTCCTCTGTGTGATGTGCCAAGCTCCCTTGCATTTGGCAACGCTGGACCTCTTCCTAAGTCATTGAGAAGTGACGAGTGTTGTTTGGACTCATCACACCAACTGGCTGCATGTTTCCTGCTCTCCAAGTCTCCTTGGAACGGGAAGCTGGGCTCTGCTGTCACACGCACCCCTTTCTGGTCGCTCCTGGGAGATGGGAACTTCCCTAGAGGGTGGGGGCATGCAGGGTTCCTGGGGCCACGGTTAGGTCCTGGGAGGAGCCTTGCCAGGCCAGCTCTTAATCTCTCCTCTGCTCAGAGCAGTTCTGCTGTCAGGAAGGAAGGACAGACAGCTCCTTTCTACTGTAGGACACACTGTTGTCTACCTTGAGGGGGGCAGGCCTGAGACCTCTTGTCCCCTCACCCCCCAAAGTGCCCCACTAGAAAGGATTCTCTAAGTTTTCCTCTGGAATCACAGAGGGTGAACCTAAAGCCCTTAGCCAAGTCGCTTTGGCGCGGGCCATGGAAACGTGGAACTGTCCGCGCCCTCCCCCGGCCCGGGTGCACGCAGCATTGGTCGCGGGGTGCGCCTCCTCCATGGCTGCACGTGGGAGACTGCCACTTCACGGGGACAGGTCTCCTTTGTTGTTTTTAATGAAGAAAAATCAACTGCCTGTGGCTTTCTTTCCTTTTTGTTCGTTTTTCTGTGGTTTCCATTTGTTGATGGTAGACCTGAAAAAAGCATGGGACCAGAATCTTAAAATGCTCTCCTTACACCCTTGAAATGCCAGACCAGCAGGTTTTTGTCAAATCGCCCTTCCCCGCTTCCCTCGGTGGTGTCTTTGCTGGTGTGCTTTTCATGCTGTCGGACTGACTGCCAGTTCTCTTCTCTGCACTAGCGCTGCACGCCTACGGAAAGGTGGGGAAGATGCTGGTGGAGACCAGGTACGTGGTGGCGCTTCGCTGGCCTCAGCCCCTCAGTCCTTCTTCTCCTGCCCTGAGGAGAAGCCTGAGGGCCATTTCACACTGAGCCACACGTCTCGGATGTGGACTGCTTTACAAGGTGGTACTTTTCTTGAGCGTCACTTACTAAATAGTTGGAAGTTCAATTTATTGTTACCCTTAAAATGATTCGTGTCGAGGGCGAAAGTCCCATTTAAGTCTTACTAAGGAAGATGTGAAAATGGGGACCTCGGGGAGCTCAGCACTGCTCCCGAAACCCGTGTGCCCCCAGCCCCCCACACGGTCACCTTGAGGCAGCATGAAACTGAAAATGTCCTGTCTTTCTCCCTTTGAAGTAGAGTTCTATGGGATGAAAAAGTTGCTGGGAAATTGCACTTTTAGGCTTGTAAATTAGGGAATCATGAATGCAGAAGAGCAGTCCCCTGAAAGCAGTTGATCGTTCTTTTAACTTGTGTAGCATCACGGTGCAGTTTGGTAGCCCCGGAAAGATCGCGCACAGTCTCTTGTGCAGAGAAAAGCTTAGTCATTCAGTGTTCGTTCCGCGTAAAAGAGCGAAGTGCCCCAGGCATAGCTCAGGCTGGCAGGCCCGAGTTCTCGGGGCAGCGCATCTCACCGGGCCGGCCTCAGGCGGTCACGAGCCAGCTGTGTCGGTGGGGACGGGTCGCGGTGAGGGGGTGAGATGGTGGACTCCTGCTAGGATGGGACCCTTTCAACCCGACCTCGTTCTCTGCAGCATGATCGGGCTGATGCTGGGGACCTGCATGGCCTTCTACGTTGTGATTGGTGACTTGGGGTCCAACTTCTTTGCTCGGCTCTTTGGGTTTCAGGTGAGAACATGCTTGGGACCCGGTGCATTGGCGTGTTTGCGGTTGCTCCTGGGGCAGCTTCCTGTGACGCTCCTGCAGGGCTGCATCTCAGCCCCGTGGGGACCGGGGGGCAGGGTGAGACCAGCCACCTGAGGTCGGTTAGAAGAAGCTTCTGGATGCTGTGGGGTTAGTTCCAAGCCTGAGGGTTGGAAACTCTGGGGATCCACTGGGGTGATGCCTGCCCAGCATGCTCGGCTCCCCCCAGGTGATCGGTACCTTCCGTGTGTTCCTGCTCTTCACGGTGTCCCTGTGCATCGTGCTCCCGCTCAGCCTGCAGAGGAACATGATGGCCTCCATCCAGTCCTTCAGCGCTATGGCCCTCATGTTCTACACCGTGTTCATGTTTGTGGTGAGTGCCAGGGGTTCCTGGGGGTGACGGGAAGGTGCTTGAAAGCCGGGGAAATGTTAGAGTCATCCTTGTGAGCCCTGGTGGGGCACGTGGGCCGCCTGGACCTGGGCCATCAGGGCAGCAAGGGCGCCAGGGCAGGGGGCGCGGCCGATTCCCCAGGAAACGAAGTGTAGATGCTCCTTGTTTTACGGAAAGACATTTCATGTGTAGTTTGTGATCAGGAGTCATGGCTCCAGCATTTGGTCACAAGGGCTCAAGTTGTTTTCTAGATGAACATTCATAGCCAGCCAGTTCTGGGGGGCCGGTATGGGACACATGCTCAGAACGCTCATTTCCTACTGAGCGCCTGGAGGCCTCTGAGTGGGAGCCTGTGGGGCCTGAGCCCAGGGTCTGCCTGTTCATAGCGAGGGTCAGACCTGCTCGCTCCTGAGTGAACGCAGTGAAAATCTTTGCCGTAGCTTTTCCTTAGAAAGCTGAGCACTGGGTGGCCATTCCCAGCATCCCCCAGTTGTGAGGGCTGCCCAGTGATGGTTACACTACTCTCCAGACAGCCCTGTCCTCTGGGGGTTTGTCTTTTAAAGTGTGTGTGGGGGGTGTGGGGGGGCCCTGGCTGCCTTAGTCGGTGGAGTGTGCAGCTCTTGATCTCAGGGTCTTGAGTTCGAGCCCCACGGTGGGTGCGGAGCCTACTTAAAAAAAAAAGAAGAAAGTGTCCAGACGGGCCTGGGAAGGGCCTGCCAAGTTTGTGGGGACCGTCCTGTCACCTGAGGCAACTGAGGGGGGCGTGGCGGGCGGGCCTCACTGTGCCCCGTCTGCTGTATGCGTTCAGGGCATGGGCGGCTGCCTCGAGTGCCAGGAAGGCCCTGCAGCAGGAACTCCTGGCCGCGTGGGCCCAGCTCGCGGCACAGCACAGGGCAGCAAACTGGGGGTGCGTGACCACCAGCCGGCGGCACCAGGTCTTGCTACAGGGGAGCATGCGGCCGAGCTGCGGGTAGCACGGGCCTGGCAGCGTCGGTAGCCCGCCCGGCCGGGCCTGGGGTCCCGAGTCTGCCTCGTGTGCTGACCTGTACTGAGCTCAGCTTCCTCGTCCTCATGCAGATCGTGCTCTCCTCCCTCAAGCACGGCCTGTTCGGTGGGCAGTGGCTGCAGCGGATCAGCTACGTGCGCTGGGAGGGCGTCTTCCGCTGCATCCCCATCTTTGGCATGTCCTTCGCCTGCCAGTCGTAAGTACTGTCTGCTCCCCAGGGGCCCGAGGCGCGGGAGGGTCCCCGGGGGCGGGGGTCCATGCGGGGAGATGGGCGTTGTGTGTTCTCTGTAATTGGTGATGCAGGCCACCAACGTGTGATGTCTCGTTCTATTGTGACTTGTCCCCGCTCCAAGTTGAGGGAGAGAGCTGTGTGTATTTTTACCGAGAGAGAACCCGACTTTATTCCCGAGACGCGCTGCTGGCAGTACTGGGGACAGTGCCCAGTTCGCCCCCTCCCCCCGGAAGAGTTGGCTGTGGGCAACACACAACAGCCCCAAACCATCTGATTCACACAGTCCCAAGCATTTTGCCAGAATTGAGCTGTTCGTGTGAGCATATTTAAAAGGAAATTGCACAAACATTGACTTCCGACTGCCGCCGGGGCGCCTTCAGAGGGGTGTGCGCGTGCGCGAGTGTGTTTTCTCTCTGGCACGCGGAGCTCTGTGAATGCAGAGCAGCCTATTTCCATAATTCCAGCAGCATTACCTTCACCACCGAATGACAAGAGCCAGTGATTCATGCCCGGTCGGAACGGTAACCTGCTCAAAAGAGAGGCGTAAATCCGGCATGGACGGGAAAAGACCATCAGTGCACAGGGGGGCTGGCAGAGCCGGCCCCCCCGTAGCTCCAGTGGGCACGTATTGTGCCAATCGTAAACTAACGTGGCAGATAAAATTTGCTCGTGCTGCTGTGTTTACACCCACATGCAAGATCCAAGTCGTCATTTCCCACTTACTGTCTCTTTTGGCAGCTCGGCTTCCACCAGAACACACTCTACTCTTGCTGTTTAATGTCCCCATTATAATTGGTGACAGAAGTTACATTCTCTTACCTTGTTACCAGTTGTCCTTTTTGTCTGTGAGCGTGGTGGTGACCACGGAGTAGCCAGCCCACCTCTGTTGGGTTTGGTTCTTAGGTCAAATGATAGGTTCCGGAAGGGCTGTGAGCCCACAGCTTGTTCTTCTGCTCGAAGAGAGCGTCGGCCCTGTGGATAACGCCCACGTTCTCCCCAGTGAGCGGCTGGCAGGGGGGTCTGCGGCGCTTGGGGTGACCCGTTTGCTGACCTCCCCACCCTTAAAAACATTTGCATTTGACAAGGGCAGAGACAGCTCTCCCCTCCCACCGTGTCTCTGCCCCAGGGTGCGTGAAAGACGGGCTTGCCTGGTGACTGCCAGACTGCCAGGCCCTGGCTGCGCGACGGGTGTCCTTTCTGTAGGGATGGGCCAGGCGTCTGCTTTGCTTTTGCTGTCTGGCCCTTTCTGATCGTACTTCCTAGTAAATGAGTACTTGGTGGTGCAGAACCACCAGGCCCTGTGGCTCGGAGAAGCAGCCCGGAGAATGCTGAGCACGGAGGAGCCTGGTCCACACCGAGGCCCGGGTTTTGCGCATTGGGGCTGCACATGGAAGCCTCCATCTGACGCGGGTAAAATGAGTCGTGGAGGCTGCTTGGCAAGGTGGGCGGTCTGGGAACGCTCTGTGGAGTGCCGAGGTGGGTCGTCGTGGACGTCTGTGGCTCCCAGCAGCAGCTTCCTGGGGCACAGGCAGGATTAGAGGGGGGCCACCGCCTTGGGCTTTCTGCACTTGTTCATGCCCCCGCACTGGGCACAACCCCTCCCCACAGCCCCTGCAGCTTGTGCTGGGGGCCAAGGGAGGGAAGTCCCCGTCCGGGGGGTCTGAATCCGCTCCCCCAAGTTGGCACTCGCTGGCGTGGACCCTGTCCCAGCCCACGGAGCTGCTCGGCATTGAGATGTTGGTGCCGTTTCCCCTCCAGGCCCTCTGCCATCGGCTTGGGCTGCATGGGCAGGTGCTGCCTGGCGCCCTCCAGCCAGGCCGAGGGGAGGGCAGTTATCCGGGGCGACCCCTGCCCTCCGTGGGTGCCCCAACAGGACAGGGGGCCTGAGCTGGGAAGCACAGTTCCCACCACTTCCTGTTTGCTTTTCAGTGACGTCTCCTTTCACTTTCTCGAAGGTGGTTTTGGGACTTGGCTCCACACTGTTGTGCTTGTCCATTTATTGGCAACAAGTTTCTGCATCCTGACGCCCCCCCTGCCAGCCGGCATCCGGCATGCGTGACCGCTGGCCATGGCTCCCGCTCCCTCAGCCGCTGGGACGCCACAGCACACGGGAGGGAGAGTGGCTGCCTCTCTGTCTGGGCACCCCCGAGTGTAGCTTCCCTTCCCGGGTCTGCACACAGACCTCCCTGCCCCCCCCCCCGGCCCTCCCCACCTGCTCCCCTCAGGGACTGTCTGCTGTTTGCAGAGAGCCCGGTGGCCGTGTCCCGTCCACCAGCACTGCGCTGCTGGCCCTGGGCCGTGCGTGGGACAGAAGCGGCTCTCTGTCCCTCTGGGCTCCGATCGGCAGCACTGAGGCGAGGGCAGGTGGCCTGGCCCTGCTTACGTTTGTTTAACTTTCTGTTCTTTTGACGGCGATGCTCGGAACTGCTTCCTGCCTCCCCTGTAGACACGTGCTGCTTCAGGGCAGTGGTCCTGCTCCTGCTTCTGCGGGACAAATGGCCTTTCATTCGGTGGCACTTCTTTTTTTTTTTT